TGATCACACCCCAACATCTGGGAAGTGGAGCCGACAATGCGCCTTAAAAAACTAGTACCTCCAAGGTACTAGTAAACGTTTCCCACGGGCTGCCTCCAGATCGTGCTGGCGCACGGCATTCCCCTCCGGCACCGAGGGAAGGACCTGTGGTGTGCCGCCAGCGTGTCTGATTGCGTAATCGCACATCAAACTGCACCGGGGCAATTAGCCACACCTCCCCCCCGCGATATCTGGCCTGTGTGAGCGGGGCCTTAATAAAGCTGATTTGCAAAGGAGCGACCACTGTTTGCCACTTGATCAGGACCAAGCAAGGTTCCTGTTGATGACTTCCCTTGTGGTTCTAAGGACATGCGCCATTTTGTTTTTGTACAGGGGAAATGTCACCACATCACGCAGGATTGCTAGCAGGTTTTCAGTGGGAAGAATTTGCTCACTGTAGTCCCTTTGACTCACTGCGGGGCACAGATTAGGCCAAATAAGAACATATACAGGTATAAAGCCGCCGTAAACTTTCAGAACACTGGTTCTCCTAGCTCAGTGCTTTCCAATGTGGCTAAAAGAAACTCTCTCACAGGGAAAGGTCTTTCCCAAAGTCATCCACTGCTTGAAGTCCTCTACCTGGCAATGCCTGAGACTGAACCCAGGACTTTCTGCATACAGAAGAAGTTCCACACCAAACCTCAGCTCCTCCCTCCCCAAGTATGAAAAACAACAGAGACTTTGCATCCTGTGGTCACTGTGCCCCACCATAACATTTTCAGACTTTCTCCACAATCAAGACTACCAGAATTTTGAGGAGGACCTAGTAGAGAGTCTGGGAGCGGATATAAAAGCGTAAATGAAATAAATACCATTCTCAAAGCGGAGGACCTCCAGTGATGGCACGAAAGGAAGAGGATTTATAGTGCAGGAACTGAAAGTGTTAACAGCAACCCGAAGGAGGATCGAACAAGCCGGGAGGAGAAGACAACAGAGGAAGCTCCTCCACGTCGGCGAAAGTAAAAGTACCCAGCACGCAAAGAAGCGGTTCTGAATGCGCCCAGAAGAGATTTTTTTATTAACAGAAATTCAAAGGAACATTACTTAAACATACTAACAGATAATTAATTGTGACCGGACTAAGAAAAGAAGTTTGACAACACACAGAAGAAGCCCAAGAAGATTAATTGGACATTACTAACAGTTTAATTTACCAGTTTATATATCACTCAGCTTTCTCTTTCTCCCACTGTCTACCCTTCCCATTTTTTCTTTTAAGCGAAATACCTCCCCTTTTTAGGGGAGCCAATAAAATCTTTATTAAAAAAAAAAAGACTACCAGAATTTTATTACATTACAGCTGAAGTGTTCACCCTGCTAAAAAGGAAGTGTGGCACATGCAGACCATACAGGACCACATGTGAGCAGAGTCCTTCCTTCCATAAACTTTACTCTCAATACCTACTTCGAGTTCTTCTTTATTCTACAACCAGTGTGGTGCAGTGGTTAGAGTGACTCCACCACATGCAGCTGCTGGTGTGACTTTGGGTCAGTCACAAGTTCTCTCAGAGCTGTTCTCTCAACTCTCTCAGCGCCACCTACCTCACAGGGTGTCTGTCGTGAGGAGGGGAAGGGAAAGCGATTGAAAGCCGCTCTGAGACTCCTTCGGGTAGTGAAGGGCGGGGTATAAATCCAATCTCCTCTTCTAGAAGAGAACCCAGGTTCAAATCCCCGCTGGTGCCATGCAAGATTTCTGGGTAACCTTGGGTTAGTCACTCAGCCTAACCTACCTCAAAGGGCTGGAGTTCTGAAGGTAAAATGGAGAAAGGGAGAATGATGCTGCACACTGCTTTGGGTCCCCCACTGTGGAGAAAACTGGAGTATAAATATCTAAATAAATAACCTCGAATGCTAGTTTTGGGTGGAGAGGGCGAATGCCCTGAACAGTAGTGAAAACTGGGGGCAGGGAGGAATAAGAGAGAAGAACTCAGTGACCTTTCCATGCAAAAGATTCAAGAGAAGGGCTGCCCGTGAGAGTGGATGGGCAAAGGTCTGACTCCATCCTGAAGCAGTTTCCCAAGTGGTCTTTTCTTAAACAGAGACTAAGGAATTAAATCAATGAGTATGTACTTTTGTTTCGCTACTGGAAAAGAAAGCAGCCAACAAAAGCATCAGTTTCTGGCTCGGCATTGGGAGTGCTCCCCCTCCCCCTTCAACCAAGGTGGCTATAAGTGAAATGATTTTAGTGCAGACACATCAGACCAAAGAGCCAATTGTCCCGGACAAGGCACTGATTAAACCCAGCTTTCTTCCAACCTGGCTCCTGGGAACACAGAGAGTGCAAAGCTCTCGCTCTTCTCATAATCACTGGGACGCCTGAAGAAAATTTCACGCCAGCGAAAAATCAGGGAAAAATTAGTTCCATCCCTGCATATCAGTATTGCAATACCCAAAGTGGAAAGTGAAATTTTGGGATCATATGGCACTGGGGTGAGCACGAAGTCCACAGCAGGATGGGAAAATTATGTTCTAGAGTCTGCACAGGTTCAACGCATTTTCAGAGGGGCTGGCTATGGAATAAAAGGAATATAGACTGCATGTGGACTACTTCCCCAGGTTAATAATAATAAAAATAACACAAAAAAATACTATTTCAGGAAGAAGGCAAGGCTAGAATCCTTTTTTCTAACTCACTAGTTTTCTAACATCAGAGGATTTTTTTGCGAGAAGAAGCATTTATTCTCATCAGCCTCCACTTCAGTTTGGACAGGAACAGTTCAAACAGAGGTGACTACCTTTGTAAAAGTAAGCACACAGGAGACAACAGCCTTTGAGTGGGGTGCAAGTATTTACCGAAAGGCTGCAATCCTATGCACATGTTCCTTGAAAGCAGACCCGATTACAGTCCATGGGACACATATTCAAATAAATACACCCAGATCAAGGCGCATGAAAGATGGAAAGAGGGTGGAGGAGAAGGTGGGTTGATAAGAGCCTAGAGCCAGTTTGTTGTAGAGGTTGAGTGTGGACTCTAATCCGGGAGAACCAGGTTTGATTCCCCCCTCCTCCACATGCAGCTGCTGGTGTGACTTTGGGTCAGTCACAAGTTCTCTCAGAGCTGTTCTCTCAACTCTCTCAGCGGCACCTACCTCATAGGGTGTCTGTTGGGGTGAGGGGAAGGGAAAGCGACTGAAAGCCGCTCTGAGACTCCTTTGGGTAGGGAAGGGCGGGGTATAAATCCAATCTCTTCTTCTTCTGTTCTAGAACAGAACCCCCATCTTGCACCTATTCAAGTTTGATTCATTTGGAACCCCACTGAGTTCAGTGAGGCTTACTCCCCAGTACATGAAAACCAAATGTCTTATGGTATCTTAAAGTTTAACAGGTTTTTTTAATGCCAACAAACTACTACAGTCACATACTCTCAGCCTAACCTACTTCACAGGGTTGTTGTGAAGATAAAGTGGAGGAGAGGAGAATTAGGGAAGCCACCTTGGGTCCCCACTGGTTACAGTTCCGCAGGGCCTGTTAGACAGAGCTCTTCCACCAGGCCTTCGACTAGCGAGCCGCACTTAACAAACTGAGGCCCTGGCCCCAATACTAATACCACCACTGAGGGCCTGTGCTCCACCAATTATGACCCAGCCTGAGATGTCAGCCGACTGCACTCGATTTAATGTAAGTCTCTATTTTCCTGTTTAATCAAATTCTACGTAAGCCGCCCTGAGCCAGCTTCGGCAGGGATGGCGAGGTATAAATTAAATAAATGCATGAGGAGAATACAGAACAGCACCAATGTTCCCTCTAAGCTGTGGAGTCTTGTGAGCAAAAATTCTACTTTGTGAGCTACTGGCATTAAAGTTGTGAGTGAGCCATTTAGCTACTGCATAAATTAGCTTGCTCTGGAGCCCTCCTTCCTGAGCGAAGACAGAAATGTGTGAGTCGGAGGCTAAAAAACTGTGAGCTAGCTCACAATAACAGAGAACACTGAACAGCACTAACATGAATGAATGAATGAATTTTATTGTTACGGCGCTTAGCCAGCAATAACTAACATGGTTGCCACCAGTGTTCCCTCTAAGCTGAGTTAGCTCACACTTTTTTAGCCTCTGGCTCACACATTTTTGTCTTCGCTCAGGAAGGATGGCTCCAGAGCACACTAACTGATGCAGTAGCCCAATCGCTCGCTCAGAACCTTAACGCCAGTAGCTCACAGAGTAGAATTTGTGCTCACAAGACTCCACAGCTTAGGGGGAGCATTGCTGGCCCAAGTAAGCATGCATGCCTAGGAAAGCGGGGAGCAAAAGGGGCGGGGGGGGGGGGAGAAAATTGGTTGGGAAGACAATACAGAGGAAAGGAAAGAGCCCTTCCTCCCACCAAGTCAAGGTTCTTCGGCTCAGTCAGGCTCTCCTTTAGTTTTAAACAGACAGTTTTTACAGCTGTTTGTTGGTATGGAGGAAGTCTCTTTATAGAAAAATGTAAGATCTGATTAGACGGGGGACAGAGCAGGCAGAAATAGCTTTGCCCAATTTCCATCCTTCTATTAGTGCTCATAGACCAACAGTCATAAGCAAAACAGGGGGGGGGTGACTCCACAGTAATATACAAGGAAACATGGGGAAAACAGATTGTGAATGGGGGAGAGCAAGAAGGCAGGTGAAGAGGATGGCAGGGGGCACGACAATGGGCAGGCCTGCCTGCAAGCAGGGAGAGGGAGAGAGAAAGGGAGCCTGGTCAGCGAAGAGCTACTGATTCATTCTACTGCACTTTTATGGGAGGAGGAGGAAGAGGGGCAAGCAGGCAGCTCCAAATAGGGCAGGGGGCTTTTAAGGGGGGGGAGAGATCTGGGGGTGCAGAGGAGGGGCAGGAATCACACAGTCTCCAAGGGGCAGCCAGGGAGGGTGTCCCCTGCAGCGCCCTGGAAGGGAAGCCGAGGGGGCGGGGCTTAAAGCCATCCCGCGAGCCCGTGGGCGTGGCTTGCCGGGAGAGGGGCGTGGCCTCCCCCTCCCTCAGCGACTCACCGTCTCTTCGTCCCCTTCAGGGCTCTCCGGGCGGCGCTGACCTTGCCGGCAACGGTCCGGGACGACTTCGGCGGGGGGGCATGCCGGGGCCGAGCCCATTCCCGGGGCGAGGAGAGACCTCGCCGGGCCCCGCCGGAGGCCGCGTGAGGCACCGTCTTGAGAGGCTGAGCTGAGGAAGCCAGCCTTCGGCAGCGCGCATGCGCCCGGCGCGAGGCGGGGTGCGGCCCGAAGGGCGCCGTTCTGCGCATGCGTATCTGCCGCCGCCGCCGCCGCCGCGTCCCAAAGGAGTGTTGATGGCAACTAACTGTAGGCAGAGCGGGAGGGTACCAGATGACTCGCCGTGCATTTCTGGAGTACCGAAGTAAATGCACAAGTCCCGCCGGCCTTTGGAGACTAACAACATATATTCCATCACAAACTGGAATCGTATTGCAGCATAGCACAGAGCGAGAAGGCGGTGAAGTTCTGCCCCGCAAATGGCTGCATTCAAGCGGAAACCGGAAGTGTTTGTTGCTTGTATTGTTGTCGAATTCTACCTCTGGGTTGCTGTTTGTGAAAGCGGCCGGCTACGCTTGGCGCATGCGTAGTAAATGGAACGCACGCTTCTTTTTTTAAACGGGCTCGCGGCTGCAGAAGTGTGGCGCCCTCGCTCGTCTTCTCGGTCTTACTGTATTTTATCATGTTATGAATTTTGTTAGTTATTATTAATCTTTCACATATAACCTGCCTTTCTCACTGGCACTCAAGGCGGATTGAAAGTATGATTTAAAAAATTCTGTAAGTGAATCGCAATACATGATAAAATCATTACAAGATATGATAACATTTGAACCTTAACAGCAAATATTCCTGGTAAGACAAAACAATGCAGTTGGGCTGGGATTTCAAAACAGGAAACAGTGAGAAAGGTGGACTATAAAAGAAGTATAAATAAAATAAATGAAGGGGGGGGGGGTTGTTTAGCAACAAGACA